ATTTATTTACCTTAAAATCCACTTCAATGCTTTCCAGGATTCGCCATGTACCTGCTTACAAGACTTACTGCATATGCTATGTCGGGTCTAGTACAGACCATAGCATACATCAAAGAACCTACTATGTTAGCATATGGAATGTTATTCATATAAGTTCTTTCAACATCAGTGCTGGGACACTGATATATACTCAGCTTGAATTGAGGGTTTGTCGGAGTCACAACAGACTTTGAATTCGACATACCAAACTTTTCGAGAACCTTCTGTAGGTATGCCTCTCGAGATAAGCATAATTTTGAATGCTTTCTATCTCTCCGGATGTCAATCCCAAGAACCCTGGACGCAGCTCCCAGATCCTTCATTTCGAACTCTTTATTGAGTTCAGCCTTCACCCTCATTACCTCTTCGACATTGTTGTTTGCTATTAGAATATCATCCACATAGAGCAACAAAATAACAAATGAATTACCCGGTCGAAATCTAAAGTAAACACAGTGGTCGAACTGCCTTCTGATGAAACTTATGTGTGCCATGAACTTGTCGAATCTCCTATTCCTCTGTCGAGGAGATTGTTTCAGTCCATATAAAGACCTATTCAGTTTGCACACATAATCTTCCTTCCCCCTTTCGACATACCCTTCAGGTTGCCTCATCAGGATTGTTTCATCTAGATTACCATACAAGAACGCAGTCTTCACATCCATCTGTTCCAGTTCAAGGTCGAACTGGGCCACCATGGCAAGCAACATTCGAATGGATTTGTGCTTCACAACAGGAGAGAACACATCATTGAAGTCGATACCTTCTTTCTGAGTGAACCCCCTAGCAACCAATTTTGCCTTGTATCTCTTCGACGTCACTCCTTCGATTCCTTCCTTAACTTCGAAAATCCATTTACAGCTGACTAACCTGGCTCCAGCAGGTTTCTTGATCAGTTCCCAGGTGTTGTTATCATGAAGAGATTTCATCTCATCATCCATGGCCTTCAGCCATTCAGTCTTCTTTCGACTCCTCATAACTTCCTTATAGTCTCTAGGTTCTTCATCTAGAACCTCACTAGCAGAGATTAAGGCATAAGCTATAAGATCTGCATACCCAAGTCTCTGAGGTGGCTTGATGACTCTCCTCGACCTGTCTCTTGCTAGCAGGTAGTCATTATCAATCTCCTCATCTTCGACAGCATCTTCTGCGTCTTTTTCGACTTCATCTGGGGTAAGCAATTCAGCATCAACATGCTCCACCTCAACAGGAATCTCTCCCTGTTCCAGCTCTTCGTCAGCATAATCAGTTTTCTTGAAAGCCATCTCTGCTTCATTGAAAACTACATATCGACTGGTGATACACCTTCTGTGACCTGGCTCTAGGCACCATAGCCTATAAGCTTTGACTCCTTCAGGGTATCCCATGAACATGCACTTCAGAGCTCTAGGTTCGACCTTGTCTTGCCTAATATGAGCATAGGCCACACAGCCAAATACTCTCAGTCTGTCGAGACTAGGTGGATGTCCCGACCAAACTTCTTCAGGTGTCTTCATTCCCAAGGCAGTCGAGGGACATCTATTTATCAGGTAAGCTGCTGTCGAAACAGCTTCCGCCCAAAACACCTTCTTCAATCCAGCACTAACCAACATGCATCTAACCCTTTCAAGGATTGTTTGATTGAATCTCTCAGCTAAGCCATATTGTTGATGAGTACCTGCTACAGTCTTATGCCTTGCAATCCCAGACCCAACACAGTAACTGTCGAAAGCTTCGTTGCAGAATTCAAGGCCATTGTCGGTTCTCAACCTCTTAACCTTCCTGCCAGTCTGAGTTTCGACTAGAATCTTCCAACTTTTAAAATTCTCAAAAGTTTCATCCTTCGTCTTCTGAATGAATACCCATAGTTTTCTGGAATAGTCATCAACGATGGATAGAAAATACCTTGCACCTGAGTGTGAAGGATTCCTTGCAGGCCCCCAAAGATCAGCATGAATGTAATCCAGGGATCCATGTGCTCTTTGCTTGCCTTTGTTAAACTTCACCCTACAGGATTTACCAAATACACAAGATTCACAAAATTCCAACTTTTCGACTTTGTCACCTCCTAGCAGGTTCTGCTTCCCCAATTCGACTAAGCCTCTTTCGCTGACATGGCCCAATCTCATGTGCCATAATTCTGTCTTCGACATAAATTTCGTGGATACAACATTTGTCGAACCACTTACAACCTCAGCCTCAAGGGTATACAAGCCTTGTTTCTTCACGCCTCTCAAGACTTCCTTCGACCCCTTCATGACTCTTAGGATACTTTTCTCTCCTTGAAAAACATATCCTTTTCTGTCGAATTCACCAAGAGAAATCAAATTTCTCTTCAAGTCAGGTACGTACCTGACTTCAGTCAATAACCTTATTGACTCATCATGGAGCTTGAATATCACAGATCCAATACTTGCAATTTTGCAAGATTTGTTGTTTCCTAGCAGCACAGATCCACCATCTTGATCACATAGCTCCTCGAACAATTCTCTGTTTGGAGTCATGTGCCTAGTGCAACCTGAATCCATAATCCACTCTTTCCTCAAGTCGCCACTTGAAACCACAAGAACATCAGATGAGTCAAAGTTATCTTGAACAATGGCTGCATTGCCATTACCTCCATGATCTTTCAGGCGTTCAGGGCACACCTTTCTTATGTGACCCTCCTTCTTACAGTGATAACATCGAATACTAGATGTTTCGCCACTATAAGACTTCTGTTGACTTTTACCTTTCTTCTTGTCGAACTTTTCATCCTTTCGCAAGAATTTTCCCTTAACAGCCAAACCTTCACCCACCGTCGAAGGTTTATGCTCCTTTCGTTCGTTCAAGTCCTTAGAATAAAAGGCTGATTGAACTTCTTCAAAGGTCAGGGACTCCCTTCCATACAAGAGAGTTTCTTTGAAGTGAGCATGTGTTCTGGGCAAAGCACACAGCAGCAACAGTGCTTGATCTTCATCATCGATCTTCACATCAATATTTTCAAGATCAAGAATCAGCTTGTTGAACATATCCAACTGCTCAGCCAACATTTTGTCTTCACTCATCTTGAATGAATATAAACCTTGCTTCAGGTATAGTCGATTCACCAGAGATTTGATCATGTACAAACTTTCCAGTTTCACCCATAATCCTGATGTTGTAGTCTCCTTTGATACCTGTCGAAGAACCTTATCACCAAGGCTCAACAATATTGTGATGTGGGATTTCTCGATCATGCCCGTCTTTTCTTTTGCCGTTAACGCAGCGTCCATGGCTGCCTCACCCTTCAACGCTTCCAAACAACCCTGCTGAACCAATAGGGCTTTCATCTTCAAGCGCCACAGACCAAAGTCGTTCACTCTGGTGAACTTTTCAATCTCATACTTTGTTGAAGGCATCTTCTCCATGCTCACCGCACCAATTTGTTGTGAATAGGATACCATTAAACAAAGTATAAACGGTTTCTTATCAAGAAACACACAAGGGTTAGGGTTAATAAAGAAGAAAGCAACAAGGAACAACAAGGGTTGGTTATTAAACTGTTATTCTTTCCTTTCTCTTAAAACAAGATTACAAGTATACAAGAATAATAAAATAACCTCTCTCTCTTGAAATTAGGATTTTATCTTCCTATTTTTCCTTATGCCAAGATTGAGAAACTAGCATCCTATTTATAATAAAATAGCACACTAACCTAATGGGCTTTTTAACAATTACCCATTATAAGCTAACTTAGGGTACAAGTTAACTTAAACAATTGGGCTTACAAGCAAGACCCAATTCAACATGCTAACAACCGTAGCAATATTTACTAATGCATGTTAGAACAGACTTCGACTACAACACGCATTACTTGCGAACAAACTTCGACTATAATAGAGTTCGATCCAACATCTCACACTTCACACCAATGTCGAAACCTAAAGCGGAATACATTTAATCCAAGCCTCTGCAAAATTCCTCCTTTCTTCAATCACACTATCTTTTAGGATTAGCTTATAGGCTTCTTTCACCAAATATTCTTTATTAGACCAAGACCACTTGCCTTATATGCCTTCACAACGTTTTGTTCTTTGACATTTTTCTATAATTTCCTCTTCGAACACCCTCTCCTCGTCACTGAGAATTGATTCCACATAAAGTTCATGTTCCCTTCTTCCATAAATATCTGCATCACTTCACTAACATACATCTCTTTGTACACTGCCAAATTGAACAACTCTGGGAAAGTATTTTTCAAAATTTAACCCTCTAACCAAGGATCACTCCAAAACAGCGATGTCGTTCCATTTCCAATTTTCCTGCATAACTTTTCAGAGAACCACTAAAATTTAAATCCCTTAGCCCAGTTCTCTATCTTATTAAGGTCTTGCCACCAGCTCGAACCAGCATACTTCCCTGTATTCTCCCTGAATTTTATTTTGCCATATTTGCTAACCAAAACCCTAGCCCGTAAACTTTGTTTTTTGATATGCAACCTCCAAAACCATTTCCCTAAAAGCGCGATGTTAAAAGCTCCTAAATTCTTTAGGCCTAGGTCTCCCTCCTCTCTCTCCCTACAAAACAAGTTCCAGTGCACCCAACTTATTTTTCTACTCTCCACTCCCCCACCCCATAGAAACTTTATAAGTAAGGATTCAAGGTCAGCGATGGTACCTGACGGAGCTTTGAAGAAAAAAGAAAATAGACAGGTAATGCAAAGAGAACAGATTTCAGAAGTACAATCTGACCACCAATAGATAAATGTCTATTATTCCACTTGGCCAATCTCTTAGAAACTGCCTCCACCACCGGTTTCCAAAATTCCTTTCTTCTTTGGTTGCCTCCAATAGGAATACCGAGGTATTTAAACAGTAATTTTCCGACTTTGCAATTTAATACTTGAGCGGCTTCTTCCAACCAATTATACTCCATGTTTACTCTGACCAAGAGACTTTTATGAAAGTTAACTTTCAATCCAGATATCAATTCAAACAATTGTAGATTTGCCTTAATGCTCCTCATATTTTTCCAGCACTTCTTTCCATAATTAGTGTATCATTTGCGTATTGGAGATGCGACACGAAAACCTCTCCAGAGCCGAATTCATACCCTTCGAACTTGTTCAATTGAACACTTTTCGACATCATTAAACTAAGCCCTTCCACTGCTATCAAAAAGAGAAAAGGCGCTAAAGGATCACCTTGCCTCAAACCTCTACCTACGTCGAATTCTGAAGTGGGGTTGCTGTTCACTAAAACTGAAATCCTGGTACTCTCATACATTTTGTCATCCAGCCTCTCCATTTGATACTGAAACCCATTTTCTCCATCACGAAATCCAAATATTTCCAATCCATTGAGTCGTACGCCTTTTTGAATTCTACTTTAAACATCACCGCCTCTCTTTTTCTTCTTTTTGCATCATCCACCAATTCATTTGCCACCAGAATTCCATCCACCAGTTGACGACCTTCAATAAAAGTGTTGGGAAATGCCTGCATAATTTCCCTCCTCCGTGAACTCAAAATAGGCACTTAGCGGAAACGTGAAATAAAAGCGTAATGACACAAAGATAATTTTAGCATGGAAAACCTTCTCAATGTGAGGAAGGGAAAAACCACAGGACCCTTGGGCCTCTTAAAACATCCACTATAATGATAATGGGAATACAACAACTTCACCCTTAGGTGGATCTCACTACAATGTATCTCTCAATTTGTAAGAAACACTCTCACAAATTGGCTCACTATTTCTCTCACAAGAAACTCTCTATGAGGATTTTCTCTCTTGAACAAGGCTTTCTTTCTCTCTTGCTACTTGTTGTTCTTCTCTTGTGGTGTGTTGTGAATGCTTGCTTATGATCCTATTTATAGGAGAGGCAAGCCAAAGTTGTCTTACATGCATGAAGACACTTGTCATTTGCCTTTCATGCAAAACACCAAGTGTCCCTTGTAATACATGCACCACACCATGTGTTACTCATGCACCACAACATGTGTAAATCATACACCTTGGTACTTGCCATCACATGCAACCTTCCATTTTGTCAATCCAGCAGCTTGTTTGCAGAACTCTATCTTCTCTTTTGGTAGAGGTTTTGTCATCATGTCTGCCCCGTTGTCATTGGTGTGAATTTTCTCTATTTGCAACAGTTTATTCTCTAACACATCACGTATCCAATGATACCTCACATCAATGTGTTTTGACCTTGAATGATATGTTGAATTCTTGCTGAGGTGAATTGCACTTTGACTATCACAATAGAGAACATAACTTTCTTGATTCTGGCCTAACTCTTGCAGGAACTTCTTCATCCACATCATCTCCTTACAACCTTCAGTGATTGCGATGTACTCTGCTTCTGTGGTACTTAAAACAACGCACTTTTGTAGTCGCGATTGCCATGAGACAGCTCCCCCTGCAAAAGTAATCAAATATCCAGATTTAGATTTTCTTGAATCTACATCTCTGGCCATATCAGCATCCACATATTCAGTGAGCATTTTATTTTCATTGCCAAAACATAAGCACTTTTTGGCAGTTCCTTTCAGATACCTCAATATCCATTTCACAGCACTCCAGTGTTTCTTTCCTAGGTTTGATAGAAATCTACTCACAACTCCTACCGCATAAGCAATGTCTGGTCTTGTGCAAACCATTGCATACATAAGGCTACCCACAGCTGAAGAATAGGGCACCTTGCTCATTTCTTCTTTTTCTTGGTCATTCTTTGGACATTGTGTCTTACTAAGTTTCAAATGTCCAAGTAGCGGAACATGCACATGTTTTGCATTATGCATGTTGAACCTTTCAAGAACTTTCATGATATAGTCTTCTTGTGACATCCACAACATTCTTTTAGAGCAATCTCTAACAATCTTCATTCCAAGAATCTTCTTCACTGCACCCCGATCCTTCGTAGCAAAAGATTTGCTCAATGCTTTCTTGAGAGCAGTTATCTTTGCTTTATCTTTTCCAACAATAAGCATATCATCAACATACAACAAAAGTATGATGGATTCCCCATTTTCATAGTTCTTCACAAACACGCAATGGTCTGTTGACGTCTTTATGAAATTGTGTTGGGTCATGAAGAGATCAAACTTCTTGTACCATTATCTTAGAGCCTGATTTAAGCCATATAGACTTTTGTTCAAGCGACACACAAGGTGTTTTTTGCCTGGTTCAATAAAACCTTTAGGTTGCTCCATGTAGATTTCTTCCTCTAGGTCTTCGTGCAAGAATGTTGTTTTAACATCAAGTTGTTCTATCTCTAAGTCTAGTTTTGCAGCTAGACCAAGGATTGCTCTAATGGATGTCATCTTTACCACCAGTGAGAATATCTCTTCAAAGTCTATGCCTTTCTTCTGATGGCACCCCTTCACGACAATTCATGCTTTGTATCTGGGATTTGGGTTGTTCTCTTCAGACTTGAGTTTGAACACCCACTTGTTTTTCAACGCCCTTCTTCTCTTTGGTAATTTTACCAAGTCATATGTCTGGTTTTCCTTCAGCGACTGCAATTCTTCTTGCATGGCTTGCATCCATTTCTCCTTGTCATCAATCTCAATGGCTTCCATGAAGCTTTGAGGTTCTCCTTCATCGGTGAAATTCACATATTCACCTGAGAAGTACCTTTTTGATGGTTGTCTGGATCTTGTTGATCTTCTCAATTGAGGTTCTTGATTTATCTCATCATCAACATCATCATCTACCATATGCTCTTCATGCATTGCTTGATTTTGTTCTATTTGATCAGGATAATTCATCTGATCGGGTTGTGTTGGCTGATCACGATCATAATTCATTTGAGGAATATCTCCCCCTGAGTTGTGTACCACAATGGTCTTTGGCTTCTTAGATTTAATGTTGTGGATTGTTTGATCTTCATAGAATACCACATCTCTGCTTCGAACAAGCTTCTTAGTAGCATGATCCCATAATCTAAAGCCAAGTTCATCTCTTGGTGAACCAAGGTATATGCACTCCTTCGTCTTTGCATCTAGCTTTGCTCTTTCATCTTTTGGAACATGAACAAATGCCCTGCATCCAAAAACTCTTAAATGACCATAGAAGGCTTTCTTTCCATACCATACTTCATCTGGTATCTCTCCATTTAATGGTTTTGAAGGAAACAAATTAATCAAATCAACTGCAGTTCTCACTGCTTCACCCCAAAATGATTTGGGAAGTTTTGCATGAGAAAGCATACTTCTGACTTTTTCTGCAATCGTTCTATTCATCCTTTCAGCTACTCCATTCATTTGAGGAGTCTTAGGAGGTACCTTCTCATGTCTTATTCCATGAGATCTACAGTAGCCTGCAAATGGGCCTATATACTCTCCACCATTATCTGTCCTTAAACATTTCAGTTTTCTTCCGGATGCCCATTCTACAGAGGCATGAAATTCTTTGAAAACTTGAAGAACTTTATCTTTTGTCTTCAATGGATACACCCACACTTTTCTAGAGTGATCGTTAATGAAGGTAACAAAGTATTGTGAACCACCAAGGGACCTTTCAGATGTAGAGCAAACATCTGAATGAACAAGATCTAGGATATGCTTTCTTCTTCTTGCATCATCTGATCTTTGAAAGGATACTCTATTTTGTTTTCCTACTAGACAATCTTCACAGGATTCAAATGGTTGACCCTTGATGTTTGGAAGATGATTCTTAGAAAGAATATCCAAACCTTTCTCGCTTATGTGGCCAAGTCGTTTATGCCACAATTCTTTGCTCATGTCTTGAGATACATTGATATCTCCCTTGTTTATCTTTCCCTGCATCATATACAGAGAGCCTTCCTTTTTACCACGAGCAATGATCATGCTTCCCTTAATGAGATTCCATCTACTGGATCCAAATTGGTTTATCATCCCAATATCATCTAACTTTCCTGTCGAGATAAGGTTTAGACGCATGTCTGGAACATGTCTAACCTCCTTCAACACGAGCTTATAACCATTCTCTGTAACCATAGTCACCTCACCAATGCCAACAATCTTGCTTGTGACTTGATTGCCCATCTTCACCATACCAAAATCTCCTTTTTGATATGATGAGAAGAATTCTTCATGAGGGGTTACATGAAAGGATGCTTCTGAGTCAATTATCCAAATGCAATCATCAGACGCTACATTTAGATAGTTTTCCTCTTCAACAAGAAAAAAATTCTCGTTAGTTGCTACGAATGTTGTCGTTGTTCCATCTTCCTTCTTCTTTGGTCGATTTTATCAGGATGCATCGTTCCATCCTGCTGATCTCTCTTAAAGAATCTGCACTCAAACTTTCTATGGCTTGGCTTGCCACAATAATAACAACTTAGTTTAGAGCGAGACTTTGATCTAGCTTGTGATCTCCCACGACCTCCTCTTTCACGATTCTTACTCCTTCCTCTATTATCAACAATATTTGCTTCGAACTGGTTGTTGAAGCCTCTTTCCCTCCGTCTTGATTCTTCACTTAGCAAGGAATCTGTAACAGAATCCATGACAAGTTTTCCATCTGGAGCAGAGTTACTGAGAGTGACGACTAGAGTGTCCCAACTCTCGGGTAGAGAACTTAGGAGTAGAAGAGTTTTCAACTCATCATCTATCTTCATGTCGGCTTTCGTTAGTTGATTCACAATACCTTTGAAGGTATTTAAATGCTCGATCATGTTTTGGCCATCAGAGTACTCCAATTTCACTAGTCGTCTGACAAGGTGGGCTTTGTTCCTTGGTGTCTTCTTTTGAATCAAGGAATCAAGTTTTGTCCACAACTCATATGCATTAGTATAAGTTGACACATGCTCGAACAGACTTCTGTCTATGTATTTTCTGATCATTGCTATTGCCTTCCAGTTTTGAAGTTCCCACTCCTTATCGGTCTTCTTCTCGGGTTTATCCTTTTGGGTGATTGGCTCATGAAAGTTTTTGCAATACAAATGGTCTTCCATTATTGGCTTCCAATATGAGTAGTTGTCAGCAGTTAGCTTGAACATATCACCATCATGGCTGATTGAACCCTCCATCTTGAGTTACACAGGAAACAATTTCTTTAACCAACGTGACTAGTATCGTATACTAGAATAAGTGAGTTCGTGAATAGTGCACCAGGAAAGTCCCCAGGTAAGAGAGGTGGGTCAATAGACACGCTTAAATACCAAGTCTTTCCTTGCCAGAACTTTCCTAGACATGCAATATATCACTACCTCACTTTTATTTCTAGCGACAAGAATATTTCTTTTCTGATGTGGAAGATCAAACAATGTTGCAGCCACAGAGCATACTAAGATTTATCTTGCAGATACGACACCTCAG